TGCAGAGAGGATATGCAGAAAGAGTAATCTGCATAACACAGTTGAGATAGTAGCTAATGTTTGGGGTCGGTGCTTCAGCTCTGATGTGTAATGTTTGAAGCCCCAGGAAGTCATAGCCTCTATTCCCAAGGCTAGATCCCAGCTCACTGGAGGGAGCAACAGGGGGTCAGGGAAACAGCCTGCTATCTTCAAAGCTTATCATCAGCACCTCAGCTAGACCAATATGCATTGCTTAAAGCCAATTGAAGGGATAAGGAAAGGGTCCTAGCTAGCTCTCTATATATCTATACATGGAAATAGGGTTAGGCTCAGCCAAAATGGAAGCAATTGCTCCTCTTTCAAGGACAGTCGCGTAGGTGGTCCTCCCCAGTGTATTTGTTATTATTAAAAATATTATGGAGGGAGCATGACACCCCCACAGAAACATCTGGGGTCTCATGCTGGTGCAGAGATCCCATTCTGGCAGGTTCCATCACCTGTCTCAGTTGTTAAACAGTCCTGGGAAGAGCCCTCAAGGACCCATACTACCCAAAGAAGGTTCCGTCCTTGGAGGCCATGTTAGCTTTTCGTATCATAACAGATACCAGAAATCATCAACTTTTCAGAAGCTCCCAGCTGGGGTCATTGACCCTGTTACTTCTAGGCCTGTGGCGAGGCAGCACATGAGGCGGGAGCTCATGGTGCAGCCAAACCAGTCACTTAGTGGCTGGAAATGAAGGAGAGGGATCCAGGGTCACAGTCCCTTCCATGGGCAGCCATCAGGACCCTGCCTCAGAAAGACTCCACCTACCTTTCCACCTCAGAAAGACTCCACCTCCTTCTTATAGCGATAGTGCCAGGCTGGAGACCAGCCTTTAGCCAAGGGCCTTCTGGGGACATCCTGCATGTAAACTATCACAGAGGAAGACTTTTGCTGTCTGTTGGCGCATGGCTTGCTTTCCCTAGCCTGGAGATTTTTGTGGTGTTCACAGTAAGGAATGCAGAATTTTTAATGTAGCAATTTTACTGGGTACTGTAATAAACAACCCTAACAATAGATGACAAACAGTAGGAGTTATGTTTCACAATCTAGGATACAGATGCCTGGTAACTGTGTACCTTTCCTGTACTTACAGCCGAAGGAAACAGGCTTGGTCCACCTTGTGTGTTAGCTAGAACTATCCTAAAAGGCCCCAGAAAGAATACAAATGGAAGCAGGGCATGGTGGTATACACCTGTAGTTCCAGCACTCTAGAAGGCTGAGGCAGAAGGATTTTCTCAAGTTCCAGGACAGCTTGGACTATATAGTGAGACTCTGTCTTTTAAAAAAAAAGAAGAAAAAAAAAGCAAATGGAAACCATATTGGCATAACCAGTTATAGTAAATAAAAATGATGTTTAAAGATCTATGACGTAGCATGGTGACTACAGTTAATAATAAGTGCATGTTTCAAACTTACTAGTCTTGTTTAACTGTTCTCACCATAAAAAATAAAAAACATCTTCCTGGTGACATATATGTTCATGTAACATATATGTTCATTGGGAGGATTTCATTGGAATGTATATATATCCCAAAACATCTCATTGTATTGCATAAATGTACATAACTATTTGTCAATTAAAGATGAAATGAAATTTTAAAATCCAATGGGGAAAAGCACAGAATGATTAGTTAAAATTAACTTTAAATAAACAGCACATACTTCTTTAGGTACAAAGCAGTATATCCCACTGATAATGAGCTCAAGCATGGCCTGTAATCTTATGATACGGTTAAGTGTGTAAATAGGAAGTGGTATCCCCGCATTCCACCTTCTGCCCAGGCAGGTGGGCCATAATACTGGATAACTCCCTTTGGGGGCCACTCATCATCTTTCTAATCTTCTATTTTAATGGGCCTTTTAATTTTCTTACCAGCTTCTTCATGGACAGGATACCCTAGAGTTTGTCCCTGCTTTAAGGGGATTAGAAAGAAGGATGGTCTAACTGTCCCCAGTGTACAGGCCCCTGACCATTTAGCTGGTAGTTGTCAGTATCCTCAAAATCCACAGACCCAATAGAGGCCAGAAGGTGCCTTCCAGTCATTTGGGGCCTCTAACTGATCCCAAGAGTGGTTTAAGAAGGGGAAAAGAAAGAATGAATTGGAGTGGGGTAATGAGAACGATTTTGTTTTCCCCACCACAAAGTTTTCCCTAGAGTCTCATTATAGTATTACTGCCCCAGGCAAGTTAGTTCTCCCACTGGATCTGTGAAGGCCCTCCCCCAGCAAGCGATGCAGAACCTTCCCATGATAGAGGTTTTTAAATACCAGATGCTAGGGTGGGTGAACATGGGGTTGGGGGAATACGTGGGTAGGATGAAGTTGTCTTCTAGTATCAATTCTCTTGCTTCCCATGGCCATTGGTGTCCCATGTCGGTTCCCCCTCAGACATAACATGAGGAGACATTGAGGTTTTGGGCTATGTTTTCAACCAAGTCTTGTTGAATATGCTCATATAACGAGTCAGACATTCAGAGTTGTTGGGCTGAATGAGTCCTAGTCTTTCTGACTATATGTAAGTTTTTGGGCTTCATCCTCTATAGCCAAGCATTAATGTCATAGGGTAATCTGCAGCCCATTAAGCTGGCCCACCTGTAGAATGGTGCAGTTTACAGCATTACAGGTTCTTGACTGACAATCTGGTTTGGTAGGTAATTTTGCAAGGGTTGCAGCCTCTTGCCCTGATGTTGGAGGTGTAGATTATTGGCCAAATAGGCTAGTAGCCCAAGTTACACATAGCCAGCAGAACCATTCAGAGCCTTGTCATGATTGGGAACGGGGGCATCAATAATGGCTGGTCCCTTTCCATGGTGCACATATGAATATAGGACTGTGTCTATGATATCTTTCCCACGATAGACTTCCAAATGAGGTTGTGGATGGGTCTAGATATGTTGCTTGACATACATCAAACTACAAAGAAATGGCCCCGTTATGATTTGAACAGACCTTAGTTTTGTTTAAGAGGCCACCATCACCTGTTTCCACTTTTCCAGCATGGACCTCATACCATGTTTCATAAGGTGGAGACTTGGGGTCATAACAGATGTAGGGTTGGTTATCTCCTGGGTCACAAACTGAGTGGGCGGTTTGATTATGAGTACAAGTTCCCCACTGTGTCCCTGTACATTCATAATAGGTATGACAGAGCAAGGTCCCTATTATGATGCTCCCTGACTGTGTGGTATAGATGCAAGGGGAACATCCCTCTAGGGATTTTTCTCCCAGCAGGGGCAAAGGAGAATTAGAACAAAAAGTAAAAGAGACTCATGTTGTCATTGTAACTCCATGCTGATCCTCAAGCTTCAGCCATGTGTAGACTGGTCAGCTTCTGGGGTGACTAGAGCAGAGCTGCTGTTCGCAGCAGCAGCTTGGTTTTGCCATAGGATCCGTCAGTTCAGAGGGTCTGGATCCTGTTGGCTCATTCGCTTGTCTTGGTCTGCCAGTTTCAGCCAACTGTGGTAAATCCAAGGCATAGTTTTAGCAGCAGTGGACGTAGACAAGATTATAGTATGGGACCTATCCCATATGGGCCACAGGACGGTTGGATTTCATTTCTTAACCCAAACAAAGTCCCAGGGCTTGAAGGGGTATGTTGGGTCTGTCAGGGTTATGGGTATTTTCTCATGTACCTAGCCATAGATATCTTGCTTGGCTATTCCCAAAGCCTGCATCTGCCTTCTTAGAGTCAACGCCCCTAGTTCACAGAGATCATCCTTGATTTGATCTATGGGGGTGACCGATTGAACAAGATGTCACGAGGGGAACACCATCTGTTTGGTGGGAGTGCACCTGACTCAGAGGATCATGGGCAGAACCTGATCCCCTCTGAAGTGGGTTTCTTGGTATTTTTTCAGCAATTGTTTGATTGTCTGATTCATGCACTCTACCTTTCCTGAGCTCTGTGGCTGGTAGGCTGTGTTTAGTTTCCATTTTACTTTTAACATCGTATAAGTCTTTGGACTATCTCAGATACGAATGCCAGTCCATTGTCTAACCCCAAGAGTGGGGCAGTCTGAATCTTAGATGATGTCTTTTAACAGCACCTTTATCACCACTTGTGCCTTTTCTGTTCAGATGGGGAAAGCCTCAATCCATTCTGAAAAGGTACAGACAAGCACCAATATATGCCTATAGCCCAATGCTCAAGGTAGTTCAGTAAAGTCCATAAGCAGGTTTCCACAAGGGGTACCACCCATTTCTTGAATATGGAGGGCTGGGGGGGCCCTTGCCTCAGGTTGCTTTGGGCAGATTAGGCATTGTTCACAAACAGCTTGGGTGATAGCACTGAGCCACAGCACATAGAAATGACAGCCTAGTAACATCTCTAGTGCCATTTTCCCCATGGGAGACTCTGGATGGAATTGTTTTACAAACCTTGGGCCATCATTTCAGGGATAGCCAATCTCCCATCAGAGGTTTTCCACCATCCTCCCTTGATAAAATTCCCAGATTCTTGGGCAAACCAGGCTCTTTCATTTGAAGAGTAATTAAGGGTCTCTAGGAGAGGAGGCTCCAGGATCAGGGGCATGGCCAGGGCCCCTCTTTTGGGTTGTGGGGCTGTCATAGCAGCCCACTTTGCTTCCCTGTCTGCCTTTTGGTTTCCTCTGGCTTCCAGTGTTCCAATCTGTTGGTGTCCCCTGTAGTGTATAAGGGCCACTTTCTTTGGGGCCCATATGGCATCTAGGAGCTGTAAAATTTCTTCTTTGTACTTTATTTCTTCCCTGCCCCCCAGCGGTTAGGAGCCCTCTCTTCTTACATATATATGACTCCATGAACATATAAAGTAGCAAAGGCATATTAGGAATCAGTATAGATGTTAGCCCTTTTTTGTCTTTTGCTAGCAAAAGAGCTCTTGTCAAGACTATTCACTCTGCCTTTTGTGCTGAGGTTCCAGTAGACAGAGGCTGAGCCTCCATCACAGAGTCCAGTGTCACCCCTGCATATCCTGCCCAGCAGACCCCTTCTATATAAAACTACTCCCATATGTGACATATTCAACATTTGGGTCCTTAAAGGGGGATCTGTGAGATCCCCCCAGCATGAGAATGCTTCATCCACAGTTTCCATACAGTCATGAAGAGGGCTCCCAGTTCAGCTGTGATGAGAGTGTTCACTGTCTTTAGAGTTATGTGGGGATTTTCATATAGGCTCCCCTGGTACCTCAATTGTCCTTAGATTTGATAACAAATGTACCCCCTCTGGTCCATTAAGGTTATAACTGAGTATGGTACTCAAGTAGCCATTGTCCCAAAGTCAGCTTATCAGCCTTCTGCATCAGCAGGGAGGTGGCAGCAAGTGCCCTATAGCATGGAGGCCATTCTAGGGCCACAGAGTCTAATTGTTTTGACAAGAATGCCACTGGATGATGCCAAGATCCCATGACCTGAGTTAGGACTCCTCTGGCCATTCCCTTCCATTCATAGACACATAGGAAGACAGGTTTGATTATATCTGGCAGTCCTAAAGCTGGTGCTTAGCCATAAGTGAGAAATTTGGGATCCAGATAGGACAAAATCCTGCTAACCCCCCCAAATTCTCTTATCTGGTATCAGATGCTTGACTTCAGGAGGGCATATACAGCCTGTTTCCCTTTGATGCCCAGTTGGCGTTCCTTTTGTGTCACTGTGAAACCTAAATATATGACCTTTTGTTGGCAGATTTGTGCTGCCCTTTGCCTAGACACCTTATATCCAGCCTTCCAAAGTAGATGAAGAATGTCCTTAGTTCCTTGATAGCAGTCTTCATGAGTTGGAGCTGCCAGAAGGAGGTTATCTTCATACTGTAGCAAGGTACAATTGTCTTCTGGTATGATGAAGGCTTTGAGGTCAGTAGCCACACCTCTCCAAAGATTGTAGGAGAGTTTTTGAATCCTTGGGGAAGCCTAGTCCGGGTAAGCTGCCTCTATGCCCATGATAGCATCCTCCCACTGAAATACAAAGATGAGCTGACTGATGCAAGACAGAGACAGAAAAAAAGGCATCTTTCAAATCCAACCAAGTAAACCAGCCAGCACTTGCTGGAATAAGTCCCATTAGTGTGTACAGATTTGGTGCCTTTGGAGAAATGGTCTCAGTGGCCTGATTCACAGCACAGAAGTCCTGTACTGGTCTATATTCTTTAGTTCCTGGTTTTTGTATCAGCAAAAGCAGAATGTTCCAAGATGACTGGCATCTAGCCAAGATTCTGTGTTCTAAGAGCCGTTTGAAATGTCCTTGAATGTCTTGTGTGGCTTCCCAGGGAGTGGGTATTGGCAGACTCAAACCAGAATTGCCTGGATTTTAGGTCCATTATCATGAATGTTTGATTCACAGCCAGCCCAGGTGGGTTATCTTGGGCCCACACCACAAGAACCTGAAGTGTTAGCCCATACCACTCATCTATTCTCGGTTTTGGTAACCTATTTGAATAGTCTCTGTTCTTCAGCCTGTGGGATAGTAAGGGTTAATACCATGGCCTCTGGATGAGACAGACTTAGAGTCATATTTCCCTATGGCCCAATTTGGTCCTGTAGTTTTAGAGCAGGTCTCTTCCTAGCAAGGGAACTGGGCACTTTGGAAGATGTAGGAATTCATGTTGGGCATTTTGTCCCCCTATGACACACCTTTTAGGCCAGCAAAATGGCCTCTTTTCTGGGACCCTAGTGGCTCCAACAATAATCACGTTTGTTGGATAATGGCCCAATGGGTTGTGTCACTACTGAGTGTTCAGCCCCACTGTCTACCATAAAGTCCATCAATTGGCCCCCTACTTTCATTGTGACCATGGGCTCCCTAGATGCCTAAGGAATTGGAGTCCAGTCATGCCCAGTCTTCATAACCTTCAGTTCCTGCCAGTCCCAGGAGGTTGGTATCTGGCTCCTTCTAGGGGTGATAGTCTTTAGCATGTGGTCTCCTGGTTTTATAATTTTCATCACCTCCTCCATTATTTTCTGTGTATTCATTTTTCCAGTGTCCTTTCTTTTTGCATCATGCACATTAATTCCTATCTAGTCTTGGCTGATTCTTGGGTCCTTGCCCAGTTTGGCCCCTCTCTTGACCACGTCCATGTCCCCGCCCATTCACAACTTCCATTCTCTGCTTTCTTTTTGAGCCTCTGATTGGCTTCCCACCAGGCCTTCTGGTCAGTTAATGTACACCTTAGTGGCCACCTGTAAAAGCTGGATGATATTCTATTTTCTGTAGTTTTCACCTGATGTCTTCCTGAGCCTGTCCCACAAAGGCTACATTTACCATGTGCTGATTCTCAGTGGCCTCAGGATTGCACAGAGTGTAGAGCTGGAATGCCTCACAGAGCCTCTCATAAAACTGGCTAGGACTTTCATCAGTTCCCTGGAGTATTTCTGAGATCTTTCTCATATTGACTGCTCTCTTTCCACCTTCCTTTAAGCCTCAGATGAGAGCCTCTTGGTACCACTGTAAGTGTTGCCACTGTAAGTGTTGCCATTTGGGTCTCAGTGAGGGTCTACCTCAGGGAATTGGTCTGGGCATAGATTTGAATATTCATCACACCTGCCAGGGCATTGTTTTCTAACCAGTGAAGGGCTGCTTGGGTCACTCTCCAGCACTCCTGAGTGTTAAAGAGCATCAGAAGAAGCTGTCTGCAATCTGGCTAGCTTGGTTGTATGTCTGGAAGATGGATGGCATCAAATCTATAAGGGCCTGGGGCCTCTCCATGTAGGAAGGAGTATGGTGCCTTCAGTTAAGGAGCTCAATGATTGAAAAGGGCTGGTGGATAAAGCTCCATTGTCCACCTTGGATCTGGCCACCCATATCATAATAAATAAGCCCCCTAGTTTCCCAAAAGGACATCTGCAAAGCCCTTTCATGGCCCAAAGGGAGGCAGCTCACTTGATTATTCAGGCTTTCCTCATTCCCCTCCTGGGGCAGTGGTCCTGGTTCTTCCCTCTGAGGTGATGCCTGGAACTCCTTGTCATTTGATCCTCTTTCTCCACAGGCTAGCACTGCAAGAGAAGATAGATTGGGGAGTAAAGTGGGGAGTATCTCTGCCTCCTCTGGTAGCTCTGGTAGAATCAGTTTGTCTTCATCCCTTTGTCTCCAAGGCTCCCTGCAGGGCCGATTCCTCTTTCTTTTGATTCAGCTCAGCCATGAGTGTTCTACAATATGCTACCAGACAGGGCTGTAGCCAACCAGGTTGGGTCTGGACTATGTTCAGCTATGAGTTGATATAAGGAAATTGGTACAAATGCCCTGGCTGTCCTACGTCCAGATCACCCCTGATATACATACCCAGTTGAACCCCTACCTATTGTTCTTTGGGCCGGCCATGCAACATCAAAGGAGAACCAATCAACTTCACAAAAGTTTCTCAATCTCTGGGGGGTCAGCTTTACTCCACGGTCCCCTCTATAGGCTCTTTTAAAGTTCCTTATCATACATTCTAAGTGGGGGTTTTGACGCTTTTCCTCGCTATCCTCTCTGTTACATCACAAATCACTGGAACCTTTCAACCGCTTTCACTGTAGGTCAATTAGACTGCCTTCCCTTTTATAAATTCATCCTCTACTTCTCAAGCCAGGCACTCCCTCAATTCCCAAGCTTTACCAAGGACCCCATTTCTTCTCCCCTCACCAAAGACCCCCAGCAATCCACACAAAGCCAGTGATCCTACAAATTCTCATGCCTCCATGGGCTAGGATCCTGAACACAGTGCCTTGGGCTCTGGCTTCCAGATGTTTGCAAGCAACACCAGGCTGGTTACACCAAGTAAGCACCAACCTCAAGTTCCAGAAGCCGAGCAAAGGAGACCGTGGATGCACGCTTCTCTGCCTCGCCCCACAGAACTCACAGCCCACAGCTGCCTGCTCCAGGGCTCTGGCCAGCACATGGTCCTTATGCTCAGGTCCCAAGTGCTCCCAGAGTGCTGCTCACCACCTGCCTGCTACAGTGTCTCTGACCCAAGGCTGCCAAAGTCTGTGGTCCCAGCCTCTCGCCTATGAGGACAATGTGTATCCAGCCATAGGCACAGCCAGGCAAGGGGACTTTGTGGCTCCCACCTTCCCCACACTGCCTCCCTCAGTGCTCTCTCTTAAGTAAAAAGATGACCCCTATTTCATCCCTCCCACTTCACCAGGCCCAGCTGGGCCTAAGTCTGCCCACCCTATGCCCCCACTCCAGACCAGCCAGTTGCTCGGGTGCTCTTCCAGTGCAGGTCGGTCCCACACTTGCTCAAGACATACAGTCTATCCTAAGAGACCTGCAGCCCCACCAATTTCACTCTGGTTATTCACACACAGTCATAAACCTCAGCATTTTTGGTTCCTTTTCCCAGCTGGGGTGCAGGTTTCATCTGAACTTGCCTGGATTACTCAGATTACTCAGATTACTCAGCACCCCAACCCCAGGAGGTGATCAGGCTCCCCTTCCACTCTTGTAGGATGAGTCATTCCTCAGGCCCAAAACCTTACTGTAGTCCTGCAGCACGCTGTTCCAGAATCATCCTGTAGCCCCTCAGGTTCTGTTGACAGGGAGGGACTCCAGGCTACAGGAGAGTCAGTTCCCTCTCTGAATTCAAGTCTCACCTGGTGGCTCCAGGGATCTTGGGGTCTCCCTTAGCTGAGGGCCTGGGCTATAGGCAAAGGAAACAGCAAGACTGTCATCTCCAGTACCAGGCGAGCCCCCAGGAAATGTTGCAGAATTTTAAGACACTGGAGAGACCAACAGGTGAAACAGGAGGATTTATTTAGGTGCACACAGGCTCAGCAGACTCGTGTTCAAAGGCTGAGCCCTGAACAAAGAAAGGGCTGTGGTTTTATGCATGTGGTTGAAGGGATTGGTCTATCCAGTGCCTCAAAACTGGTGGGTGGGCAAGCGAGTTTACAGGAGAGAAACAGGCAGTTAATCGAGCAATGACAGTTTTGTGACTTTGGAGAAGGGTATAAGGAGGAATTTGCTTAGGTTGTCAAAACTTGACTTTTTTGTTCTAAGTCCTACTGTAATATAAATGGTCTCTCCATAGAAATCTCAAAAATAATCTGAAAAATAAAAATTGTTGAGCTCAAAATAAATTCCTCTTAAATGAAGCAGGTGCTTTAACTTACACACATTAAACAGACAAATGCACAAACATACAAACACAAAAGATGGTTGTTTTTAAACCAGAGTGCACTCTTAGATATACTGCCCAAGTTGAATTCCAGTAACCCTTTTGTAGGGTTTAGCTTTTTTTGTTTGTTTGTTTGTTTGTTTGTTTTCCGGTACCAGGAATCGAACTCACAACCTTGCACTTGCCAGGCAGGCACTTGCCGCTGAGCTAAATCCCCAGCCCCTAGTTTTGTAACTATAAGCAGGCTAGTCAGAACTTTTCCTATAGGTTATCAATTAGCAGAAATCTCTTGCAATGAGTTAGAAGGAAAAGACCCTTTTACACTTGTGAAAGCAAAGACTGTTACTAAGAAGGGATTTATGCTAACAGTTTATCTTATTGGAATAGACCCGTTTTTATTTAAAACTGTTAATAAATTCAAAAGTATCCCTATGAATATTTTTAGTTTCATCAATGAAAATATCTGTGCCATAAAAACAAGTCGGTCTGTCTCCTGGAGCAGCATTCCTGAAGGAGAGGAAAGTGAGTTAACTTCTAGTTCTGCCTGAGGATAGAAAGTCCAATAAACTTGGACTAAAACATTTACACTTACTTTTGGAGGGTTCAAGGATCAAATCCAGACCATTCTTTTAAGAATATGGAACAGAGACAAGTGAAAGTCAGCTGAGAGGGGAAACCACCACCCCTGGATATCAATCCTAACGCAGCAGCCACTGAGAAGGGACACGCCCTGGAGCATAACGTATGGATTAAATCCAACCAGATTGCCAAACAGAAATTTAAATCGCTAATCAGAGAACCTGACTGCCCTTCAACTTTCTGAGAGCTACAGAGAAGGGAGTAAGAAAATCGAAGGACAGATTGCAGATGCTCTTTTAAGCTTTATAGTTTTGGGCTCATATATGTGTGTGCTTGAGCCTTGGTAAAAAATACTGATGGGGATTCCTTTTTCCTGACAAATTTTTCCCAATTTAGCATACCTTGCTGGCTTGATTTTCATTGTATTTAGCTTTCTTTCCTTTTTTTAAATTTTTGTTTTCCTTTTCTTTTCCTATTTTATCTTCTTTTTCTGTTTTTTTTTTTTCTGTTTTATTTTCTATTTTTATTACTTTTAAAAAGTAATTCCAGTTGGCACGTGGTATTACAATTTTAGAGCTCCCCCGCCCCCCAACATTTCTCTTGTTCACCTAGAGGGTCGGAAGCAGAAGGTGGTTTTCAGAGGAAGCTGAGGGAGGAGGAGGAAATCATTTTAGGGGAAACTTTTTGCTTGAGTAGATGGACTAGAATAGCAACCTTGCAAAGATGCCAGATAGCATCTTTTACAGGACCTAATGACTGCCTCAATTTTTGACCCACGTGTTCCCAGTGCTCCACCTCCAGGCTGTCCTCTAGGGGGAAACATGGATGTTATTGTCAAATAATGATCAGTAATGTAATAAGGTGAGGTTCAGAAACAAGAGACGTCCTCTTTGGATAAAGTGTGACCCATATCATGTGAACAGAAGTAAAACAGCAAAAAGAACAAACGAACTGCCCCTACTCACTTAGCAGTTGGACAGGCCTCTGGGCTGATAAGCCTAACCTGTGACCTCATGGAGACGTGCCAAGCTACGCCATGGCCGCCTTTGTGCCCTTAGCTTACGGGGATGTGAAGTTGGACGTCTTTGTTCCTTTTCCAGATTTTGGGAGGTCAGTGCTCTCACTGAGTTGCACCAACTTAGTCCTCATATATTCCTCACAGGTGCCTCACAGGGCGCCACTTGTCACAGCTCGCGACTGTGGTTCCCTGCAAGAGGATGAAACAAAGGATTACTGGGAGTCAGTGTCCAATCCGCACTCCACGAGGGCCCAGAGGGGCCGCCGTTAACCAAGATGCCTCAGTGTGAGAAAGTTTCAAATGACAACCCCAAACTAAACCCTCTGTGGCCTTTTATTGATAGAACCAGGAAACAAGGATAAAAGAGAAATGAAGGGCATCTGGGCAGGAACTCACGTAGGAGTTAGGGGAAGGTCAAGGTGGTCTGTTCCATGACTGACTTTGGGACCAATCTAAATGGTAAATCGGAGTACTGGGAAGACAAAATCTAGAGCATTCACTCCTTAAGGCAGTGTGTTTAATCCCACTTGGACTTGTGGCCCTATAAGCTATCTTGCAATCTCTAACCATGCACGTCTGTGTGTAGCGGGGGGCGGTTGGAACGTGTGACTATAAGCTATCTTGCAAACTCTAACCATTCATGGGGAGGGGAGCGTTGGGACATGTGACTGCAGAAGTTCCTTACCTCTGCATATCCGCCTCATACTCACCTCTGGCCAATACCCCCACAACTCAGTGTTAGAAATAGTAAACAGAGATCAAAACAGCGCCACACATCTTAAGGAAAAGATTGAGAAGGCAGACTGGCTGGCTCCCTTGTATCCTGAGTAGCACGGTGCCCTGCGCACAATCCGCACCCAGGAGTATTTATTGAGGCGTGCACTGTGATTTGTTATTGGACTCATCTGAAGATTCAGTGCATGTGTCCGTGGCGGAATGAAATGAACTGGGAGGAAGGAGCGTGAGTGTGCAAGCTGCTGAAATGAGGGCTTGGAAGGTCAGGGCCACAGGGAGCGGCCGGGAGCCATCAGGCACGATTCATTTGTTTCTACCTGCTGAACTCCGCAGCTAATGGACTTCATGTGGATGACTTCCTACCAAGCCTGCTTCCTCCCAGAGCCTTGAACGGGTTGCACGATGCTTAGAGATGTGCGTGGCCTTTCAGGAAAACAAAGTCCTGATTCTGGATGCTCTGGCTACCACTCGGTCTTGTCCTGCTGTGCTAATCCACTGCCATGCCAAAGAGGATCACAGCTCCTCTGCTGCAAGAGTTTGCCCTGCAGAATGAAAAAAATAAAAACGTCACTATTTTCCAGTTATGTTTCACTTTTAATATGGTCTTCCATGCCCTTTGACCATTTGAGAAATTCTAATTAGTCTGCAGAGAATGGCTGGCCATTTGTGCAAATAATCTTTTATATTTTTCATTTTAAAGAGAAAAGAAAACAAAATAACAAAGATAACAATAAAAATGATACAGAATTTCAAAACAAGACTATAGGAAATTAACAATGGTTGTTATATTACATATTGTTATCTTCAATGAAGTTTCACAGATTACCAGATGTAAGAATGCAAAATAGATCAAACAATAAAAAAGAATAAAAAATAATTTTAAAAAACATTAGAAATGATACAGAGCTTTACTAATCAAGATGGTAGGAATTCAACAATGGTTGTTATATTGCACATTGTTGTCTTCAAATTAGTTGTTCAGATTACCAGATATAAGCATGCAAAGCTGGTCAAAAAATAAAAAAAAAAAATCTAAGCGTTAACTGTTCCTTTCAATAAACCATTAGACATCAGCAGTTCAGTTGTCGCTGCTGTCCTTGTATATACATATATACTTTTTCCCTTTCTTCTTTCTTTCTTTTCTCCTTTCCCTCATCCCAGTTGTTCCTTCCCTTTGAGCAATTTCACAATATCTACTGTACTTTTCAGGTTTTATTTACACTTTCAGGTTCTTACACTTGGGAGACAATATGATGTTTACACATGTGGGTCTGATTTATTTCACTTATGAGTATGGTCTCTAGTTGCATCCATTTACCTATAAAAGCCTCGAGTTTATCTTTTTTATAGCTGAGTAATACTCCATTGTCTAAAAATACCACGTCTTTTTTATCCATTCCTCCGTTGATGGACATTTGGGTTGTTTCCAAAGTCCAAGCAACACCTCCTCAAGGTGGAGCACCTGCCCTTGGCTCTCAGCTGTCATGGCCAGTATTAGATGCCATGGGCCTCCCTCCCTCCTCTAGTCTGCAAGCTCTCAGGAAATAAAAATGGGTCTTCTCCAGTTTGTAACCTCAGTATTCTATCCACATAAATCCACATGTGAATATGTAGCACTTGTCCATTTATTTACATATGTGTACACATATGCATATATATATAAGTTACTGAGCATTGCTATAAGTATTTTAAATACATTTCAAAACAACCTTATAAGGTAAATACGGTTAGTCCCCATTTCACAGATAAGGAAACTTGTACTGTAAAAAGGTTAAATAAATGACCCAAGATTGATAATTCATAAGTGGGGAGCTGATACTTGAACACAGTGTTAGGTCAAAACGTGTTTTTAACTATTCTGGTAGAAGACCTACCACCACTGTTTATTTAGCATCTACTGTGTGTACTTGTGCAGTGTGTCTATTTAGCATCTCTTTTAGCACACAAAAGATCCCAGTAAAGGATGGATCTTGCTTTAAGAATGAGAAAGCTTACGTAACCTGAAGTAAGACTGAGGAGCTTAGGCAACTGCTCAGAAGTGTGGTTAATAGGTAGCAAAAGCCACATTCACCCAGCATTACCCCACAGATTACCTGGGTCGTGGGAAAACCGGGGACAGCTGTACATAAACATTATTAAGGAGCAGAAAAGATGACAGTTACGCTGGCCTATTTCTTTTTTTCAGGTTCAGTCATTTTTAGCATCACTGGATGGAGAGAAGCTGGAACTCTTAAAAAATGACCTAATTTCCATTAAAGACATCTTTGCAGTCAAAGAATTAGAGGGTGAAGAGAATCAAGAAGAACAAGGTAAAGGAGAATAAGTTACATGGCAAGATAAATTGTTGGCATAATCCTTTTGAGGCTGCTGTTCATAAACACAACCCCTCAAACAGGAGGAATCATTTCATTCGGCTGTTCCTCCTGCATGCGTCCAGGATGCCCTGTGCATTGCTGTGGTCACAGGAGCTCAGCACGCTGGTTATCACCCTCTTTCGCTGGACAGGAACTCCTGTTCCTTCTCTGGCATCCGCCATGGTCCCTGGCGCATCCCAAACACACAGTAAATGAATACGGCTGCATGAACAAAGAGTGCAGTGTGCTGAGCTCCTGCTAGAGTTCGTGCGCCACCCTCTAATTTTGTCTGCCCGTGAAAGTTGTTTAGTGTGATTAATGCTCATGGCGGGCAAGTCCTGCAATGATTTCTTTGCATATTTTCTTAGTCCTTTAATCCACCCATGTGAGAGACAGGGTATATTTTTAAGTGTCTTATACTTCAGTTAAAAAGTACAGTTCTGAGACAGGCGTGCAGCTGAGAGGCAGCGAGCTTGCCTGTCCTGTGTGAGGACCTAGGTCCAATCCTTGGCACCACAAAAATCAAAAATCAAAAATACAGTTCTGACAAAGGCGGTGCCATTTTCCCACAATGTGCCAGGATGCGATGTGCCAGGCTGACAATCACTGATGTGCCAGGCTGACAATCACTGCAGTGACCCAAGCACACACTTCCAGAAAAACTTCCGACCAGAGAGTGACCTGACCCTAAACACACCAGAACGTATTCCCTGAGAAGCAAGGCTTCATGAAGAGCATAAGATGGACCCAAATTTGGACACGTCTAAGGGTTACTTTGAGTTGTCCACTTGGGAGTAGGACAGAGTAAAACATTCATTATGTCCAGGAGAGTGATTTCCTACTGAGTCATAGCCAAGCACCACACCACAATTGCTTTACATAAGCTATGCTAAAAATTTGAGCACCCAGCTGGCTTCTCCCAGGATCATCTAAAGGTCCCCACTGAAAACATCCCCACGTTCCTGCTGTGTGGCCTTGGACAAGTTACAAACCCTTTCTGAAACTCAGTATCTTCATCTGTAATGGAGCCAATGGCACATATTCCCAGGGGCTGCTCTAGGGATCGAATGAGGTAAAAACATACAGCCCAATGTCTGATACAAAGAACTATTCAGTGTGGTGGCGCACACCTGTAATCCCAGAACTCAGGAGGCTGATGCAGGAGGAACATTGTGAGTTCAAGGCCAGCCTGGGCTACAAAGTGAGTTCAAGACCAGCCTAAACTGCATAGTGAGACCCTGTCTCAAAAAGACCCCCCCCAAAAAGCCAAAAAACAAAGAACAACTCAAAAATGTTAGCCATTATTATTATTTAAAGTGCTGACACAATGCCAGGAAAATAGTAAAGGTGTAACAAATTGCAGCTGTTATTTATTATTGTACTTGTTATTACGAACCAAGCGAGGTAATGATGATGTGCATGTGGGGTATCAAACCTTTGGAAGTGCCTTGTCCCCAAGTGGGTCACATACCTTTAAGCAGAGCTTGAACACAAGTGCTCACATGCTCAGGCCTTGATCTTCAGAGCAAACACTGTTTCCCTCTTTAGTCCCATAAACTGACCTTGTGTGCTTTCAGCTTAATGAGGTTTATCCTTATTGCATCAAAGTAAAAGAATCAATTATGCTGGAGCGTAGAAAGAGGCCGATATCAAAGAGACTGCTAAAGAATTTTTTTTAACACATTTGTGTGTTTCTGCAAAAATCTCTAAAGATGACAGGCTTATCTTTGTTTTTGTAATGAGGAAACTAAGCCACTGGCTGTCAAAGGTTATGCAGCTCCCATTCTGGACAAATAAAAGAATCTAATAGACCCTTCCTGGGCAGACTAACCACTGCCAAAGGCAATTGGGTATTCTTCTCCAAGGCTCAAGATGCCAGAGGTAGACCTTGGTTCTCCTGAGGTGTCCTTTAGAAAGGATATAAAAGGACCCCAGATGCCCGCAACATCGAAGAGAGAAGTTTGCCAATGCAAGTTAAAGCAGTGTTGCATTCCCAACCGATGCTGTCCTTGGAGAGAAACCTGATTCCATATGGTTAAATAGAAAACGTTATTACAGGCAATATGTACCCATTTTAGTGGGGAGCTTCAGTAAATTGAGATATTTTTCTAATTCTGTGCTTGCACGCACACACACACAGGTTGACATGCTAAACAGCATGCTTTGAGAAATGATAGATTTGTCTCTCCTTAAGTGACAAAACTCTATTATCTCCCTTAATATATCCATTTTCCCAAAGGCCATCTCCAGATTATCAAAACACTATTAATTTTAATTAACTTAATTTAATAAATAAATGTCATTCACACACTTAATGAAGCACTGGGGCAGGGAACAGAGTTATTGCCATTAAATCCATGCAATTATGATGGAGTGTCACAGCTCCAGAAGGGTGAGGGTTTGCCCAGCAGCTCAGAGGGAAATCTTATTGGGGCCAGGGGTGAGCAGAAAATCCAGGGGCCCAACTCTGGCAGAAACCAGGGCATTTTTCTCTTGTAAACACTTGGATTCCTAAAAAATCTCTAGTGACTAATACTTTATTTGGTAGTCTCAGAAAATGTAAGAAAATGTCATTTTTAGGTCAGTTTAATATCGGGCTCCTATGCGTTGAACGACATTAGCAAGTGATTTGTATGTTGTCTCTCCAACAGTGTATAATTTTATCACACTGTCATGGGTCTCTGATTTGGTTTACCATGGCTGTGAGGAGATTTGAAAAGACCATTTTCTATTTTTATTGCCTTGGGGAAGATCTTTTTGGCCATGGGTACAGACTGAGAATTACAGTAATAGTCTTCGTTGCAACATTTATTATTATCTGTTTGTACCTAGTTCCAGTTTTCTCTGTGATATTTTTCCCTGAAATATTTGCTTAGTTATTGGTATATGTTTTATAGAATTAATGCATCCTTAAAAACTGGAGCTACCCAAAGTACTTATGGCCTAATTTAGTGTTGATTTCCCCCAAATATGTTTAATCTCCCTATATTTCCATCTATAGCACATAACAGACTATTTACAAAAAGGATTCACGTTTACAAAACACTTCCATGTTTCTTGTAGTGTTTGGTCCTCATAAGAACTCTGAAGAGGCGGGTGGGTTTTATTACCCTCAGTTTACAGAGGAGGAAATGGAAGCTGAGGCAGCCTTGTGACAGGTCCCAGGCCACAGAACCACTGAGGGCCGGAGCTGGTGTAGAAGCCAGGGCTGTCCCCGTCCAGGGCTCTTTCTGCCTGTGGCACTGCTTCATACAGAAGAACAGGAGCAGGCAGCTTGGTGATGGTGTCTTCTTGGTACTGCCCAGGTGCACCTGTCCTGGCCATCTCATTGGCCTAAGGGGAGGGGTCTGCTCAGCAGAGAGAGACTCCCAGCTCTTCATGGTCCCCCCACCTCCAGCCTCTCAGCCCTGTTTGCGTGGCTAATGCATTCTCATTCTTGAAGGCTGTGCTCAGTACCACCTCCTCCAAGAAGTCTTCCTAACACCCGTCTGAGAACGGGGTTAAATGCTGCAGAGCCCCTCACTCAGAGCACTTACCTCTTTGGGCTAAATTCTTTCTCTCCTTGTGGCTTCTTCACACCTCTCTCCTCAGGCACAGCTCCCTCCCTCTGGCCTCCTCACTGTGCCCTCACCTCAGCGGGCACAGTCCCTCCCCCCGCCCTTGCTGGAAGGCTCCTCCTCTGACGTCTGTGGCTCATCATGCTCCTCCTTCAGGTCATTACACAGACGTCACCTTTTCAGCCTCTCTTCTACCTTAATGTGCTTTAGTTGCTGTAACAAAACCCCGTAGACTGTGTAGCTTACAAACAGCAGGAGCTTATTTCCCGGTTCAGGAGGCTGAGAAGTCCAAGACCTAAGAGGTGCAGGTGTGGTGTCTGGTGACAGTGCCCTCTGGCTGTGACCTCACATGGTGACCTCACACCCTGCCAGCTGGTTGGCCATCTTTTCTAAGATGGCTGACCTCATTTCTGAAGGCTCCATGCCCATGACCTAACCACCTTCCCAAAGCCCCACCTCCTACCACCCTTCCTTTGGCCATTGTTTCGACATACGAATTTGGGGGATGCAAATATTCTGACCACAGCACCTCCTATTTAAAATTCCTAAGCCCTCTGATTTATACTTCTCCATAAAAAGTATCACTTGACATATATGTTTTGCTCATCTGTTTTGTTTATTAACCTGTCTCCCTCCTGAGAATCTATGAATGATAGGTAGTAATAAACTGATCTATGCCACGTGTTTTGAATGGAGACCCACAAGCTGGCCCAGCTATCTTTATGAGCTGCTGATTAACCATTTTGTCTACAAAACTGAAAATAGCTGTCCAGACAATATTTCTCACATGGCTTAGTCCACCTGAAGGTACTTCTTTCACCCACTGGCATAAACCATAGTATTTTCTACTCAGAGGGTCTTGTAATCAAGCCAGATGTAATGGTGCTTTTATCCTCCCCCAGTAAACCCATTATCAAACCAATTCTTTAGCACCTACCAGAGGTTTAAAATGTTAATCTATTACTGAACCAATTCTTTAGAACCTACCAGAAAGTAACAAGACTGTAGCACTGAAAGATCTCTGTTGCTCACTAGTAATATTAATTTGTTTTAATTTTATGATATATGTTGTATAATTTATTAATTATTGATTCAGTAAGTATTCATTTTAGCACTTATTACTATGTTCTAAGCACTGTGTTAGATGCTCTGGATTTAGGACTATATTAAGCAAATACTGTTCTCTGCCCCTGGAAAGCTTCCAGGGTAAAGAGTAGATCATTAAGAAGTACTTTAGAGCCTGGTGTGGTGGCACATCTGTAATCCCAGTACTCTGGAAGGTTGAGGCAGGAGAACCTCAAGTTCAAGCCCAGTGTGGGCAATTTTAGCAACTCAGTGAGACCATGTCTCAAACAAGAAAATTAAAAGGGGTTGGGGGATATAAATAAACAAACAAATACATTTTTTAGGTCTTGGTATGTAGCTCAGGGCAAAGGTCTGTACTGGGGAAAAAAAGAACTAGGACCAGACAGGTAGCCTAGGAGTCCTGGGGAAGTTTCTCCAGAGAGGCGGTGGTGTTACATCAGATAGCGCACACCGCATGGAGACCAATTCTGCCTGCTCAGAACTGTGGCTCTGTGGACCTAGAATGGCAGCCTGGGAATTACGAGGGTTGCAGTGCACAGCATAACAAGACTCTCATAACTACAGTGCTGTTCCCAGTCTCAGGGCTGACGGAGGTCATTCATCTGTTCATTCAGTCATTCTTTGAACCAAAAGCTGCTGACCACCGATAGCTGTGAACAGGACAATCTGGGTCCCTCCTGGCCTCTGGCTGCTTCTAGGCTGGCCTGGGAGTGCCTGGGGCAGGCCCTGCAGCCCTCCCCCCAGGAGCAGCCAGCCCCCTCCCTGCTGGTGGCCAATGGGTGACGTCCGTCCTCACTGGCAGCTTCACTGGTGGCCAGGGGGAAGACTGCCACCGCCTGACTGAGCCTGAGTCTACCCGACTGCAGGCTGACTGTCAGGGAGCTCCATGCGCTACAGGATGAGGAGCAAACCGCGGTCCTTACTTCTGTCATATTCTGTTTCTAGGCTTAGAAGAGAAGGGAGAAGAGTTTGCTCGCATGCTTACAGAGCTCCTCTTTGAATTACATGTTGCAGCCACACCTGACAAACTCAACAAGGTCAGAATCATCTGAGTCTCAATTTCTGGTTTTACAAAGGATGGGGTGGGAGAGTCTCTCGCTCATAAAGTTCCAGAGATCCGCGTGAAATGCAAAACCACCAAGCCCACTATGGCATGGTGGTTTGCACAGATAGAGGAGTTGAGGTCAGTAAAGAAGGTTTGAGGAGGCAACCTAGTAAAATGCAAAGGCAGAGAATATGCCAGACCATGTCACGAGACTGACGCTGTAGTTGCAGTTTTACTAGTAATCGTCTTGTGACCTTGCACAAGTCGCTTGCCCTCTGTGGTAAAACAGTGGCTGTCTTTAGGGTAGAAGGCTGAGGGGTGAGAATCACCAAGGGGCTTTTTGAAATTCTGCTCCCCCATTTTTAAGTTAAAGACACATGTCAGAATTAGGTACGGAGAGGCATCCACCTGGTAAACCCCTCAGATCCCCACCCTCCTGGAAGCTATGCTACATCATGTCCAAGAACATCGAGCGTTAGCAGTCTGGGTTCCTCTAATAAGACGGCAGTGTGTTTTGCAAGTTAGTACAACGTCTTGCTGCTGGATTTAAAACAGGGATCATTACTCACTCAAAGCTGCATGATGGGTCCCCGCCGAATCCCTTGCTTTTTCTTAGTGAGCCGTGGTTTCTGTAGACATCACTTATCAAGGTGGGCAAGGAAAGGGCAGCGTGAGGTGGTGAGGTGGAGATGAGTAATTTCTTTATCTCAGATAGGGGTCACTGATGCTGGCAGGTCGGTGACTTGAGCACAGTGGGAAATTGCCTCATCCGTCTCCCTGCAGCGTCTGCCACCGCTCGGAGAGGGCGTGTGATGGCTGCAGGTTCGCACAGGCTTATTTACATGGTCAGGGTTGATCTTTATCCCTAAAAGAGGATACAGCAAACACAGTTTTGTTACACTTTCTCTCCCCAAGTCTGCTTGGTGTTCACTTGCCACGCAGCGCTCTATCATGTTCAACTGTGACATACGTGCTTTAAGATAAGAAGTCATTTTTAGCACAAGCTAAGAAACAACTTATACTTGAGCGACTTAAAAAAGGGTGATAAAATCTGGGCGAATCTGCCCTTTCTAAATTCAGGAAACAGCAGATAGGGAAGATGGGTTCAGCACCTTCAATTTAGCCATGGCTTTTAGGGCCACTGGTTGCTTAACCTGCACCGTGTGAAATTAAACTAGTCACAGAGCAGCACCGGGTCTCTCCCGCAGCTCGTCTTTGCCCCTGGGTGCCAGAAGGCCTGCCATGAATCACGGGAGCAGGGCCATCTTTCATCTTCACGGCATGATACATTATCAGGTTCATGAAACGTTCAGGGCTCTGTGAGACATATCAGATGAGGAAATTTGCTTTCACCACTGCCCTGGCTAAATTTCTCACCTACATAGAAAAAAGTACTGTTATTCTTTTATAGTTGGTCATGAAAAGTGAAAAATATACTATAGATTTTTCAATGTAACTGTCATTTTTATTCTGCTCTGAATATCGTTTTTAAGTGCTTCTTTTAAAGTCCTTGGGCCCTGCAAATTTCTCTCTGTATTTTCTATTCTGTCCCCTTTTCCTATTTTATATTTTTATGAACAAGGTTGTCTTTTAAGGAAGTTGAAAGTGATGGCCCCATCACTTTTTAAACACACAGAAATTTGCCCTGGAGGTTTAGCATGGTTTTTGGGTTTTTTGTTTTTTAGTTTTTTTGGTATCGGGAATTGAACTCAGGACCTTATGCTTGTCAAGCAGGCACTATGTCCCGGCCCTGCCCTGGAGGTTTAGAGCAATATGAGTCTAGCCTTGGAGATGGAATGATTTCGTTTTTGTGTTCCCACAATAAATGTACACTTTGGTTGGGGACCATTGCAGGCCATGAAAAAAGCCCACGATTGGGTAGAAGAGGATCAGACCTTGGTGTCAGTAGATGTGGCCAAAGAATCAGAGGAGGAAACTAAGAAGGAAGAAAAGGAAGAGAAGGCTGAAGACCTTCAAAAAGACAAAAAGGAAGAAAAGAGAGCTAAGACTGTAGAGGTAAATTTATTCAAGATTCTCCACCAAAAGGGCAGTAATATTACGTTAATTTTATTAGCAGCCTAATTTTAACCAAGAAAAGACCTTTTTTATTTGTACTCTGTGCTCTTTATAAAAATATGAGTAAGAATGTAATCAACATTAAAATTTCTCTATGCCAAGACAATTGCTGGCTTAGCATAGATTTTGTAGCTTTTCTCCACAGCTTTACAATTATAATTTAAAGGGGAAAAGATTTTTAAGAACATAATTGATTTATCCTTAGAGGAAATCTCCATCTTATATGCAAATTTGTTACTATAAAATGTCTTTATGCGCCATAACTAATGAGGTAATTGAAGCTTTTTTCAAAAACTTTCATAGCTGTACCTTTTATTCTGTAGCTTCATAAAATTTATGTGTGCATACTTTATATCCTCTGTTTGAAAAAGTGGTTTGCAATAATGGTAGCTTATGTTGAATTTTAATTTTAAAGAAAGTAACATTTTAAATTAGATCACTCTGAGGAAAAGTGTGTGTTGAGGTCTATTCATTCATCCTCCCTATCAGCTGCCTATTGTATGCCTAGCACGGCTGTAACTACTGAGCGCACAACTCTACATAGGCTTGCCACATCCTCGGGGATCTGGCAGAACTTGCTGTTTTTTTATATTAGAACTTATATTTTATGGCAACATTCTACTTAGAAAAGTCCTAGACATGACCATAATCTTCACATAAACTTCTTCATGTTCTATTTGTATTTTATATTAAGAATTGTATTACTTAGGGACTGGCAGTGTAGCTCAGTCATAGAGCACATGCATGGCCTTGGGCTTTGTCCCCAACACCAAAAAAAAAAAAAAAATAGCAATAATTAAATCTGGGCACAGTGGCACACATCAGTAATCTCTGTGCTCAGGAGGAAGAAGGATTGAGTTTGAGGCCAGCCTGGGCTACAGAGCAAGACCTTGTTTTAAAAACATAATAATAAAAAAATATTATTATTACATTATTTATTATTACTATATCATGTTTTAACATCACAGGGCTTTTTAAAAACATGTGCTCAGTGTGAGTGATTTTCTTGTGTGATTCACTTCAGGAAGTATACATACTGTCCATTGAAAGTCTGGCAGAAGTCACTGCGCGTTGTATCGAGCAGCTTCATAAAGTTGCAGAATTAATTCTTCATGGACAAGAAGAGGAGAAACCAGCTCAGGATCAAGCAAAAGTTCTGATAAAGTAAATGCCAGCTTTAATTCTTATTTTTCAGTTTTATATTTACAGTATATGCCATGCAAATACACATACACATACACCCTAGACAACTAAAGAGTACAGCTTCATGTCAACCAACTTCATTGCTATGGTCATTTTAAGAAACAAGGACTCCCTTAAGAAATGCATTGCATTAGCAAGAAGAAGAATTAATTGGACATTCTAGGAATTATTGATGAAGAGATCGAAGGGAAGACACACTAAGTCATTCAAGTTATGAAAGTGTTTATTTTAATAGATCAAAGTCTTAGAAGTACAGACCTTTGAGGGCAATTATATTTTCAGCTTATCACATGAATAGAGAAAGGGCCTGTGAATGTAACTCCTCAGCTGCACAAAAGGAAGGAGATGCCCTCCACCATTCCCAGAGACCTGTCCCAGCTCTGCATGCTCAGCACTCAGGTGACAGTGGTAGCTAACGTAAGTCAGGTGCCTGTGGATTGCATGTGTGTGCATATGTGTTGTGGTTTATGTTCTTCAATAAAGCATAGTTATTATTATTAGGTTATCCAGATATATATATATATATATATATATATATATACACACACACACACACACTCAGAAAAGTAGTTGGTATGGAAATGAACAATAAATCATGAACCTTTATGTACATGACTATATATTATGATATAAAAAAATCAGCACAGGTCCAAATAACCTTTCATCATTGAGACACAGAAATTTGATGGAAGCCCCTGGAAATAAATGGCTGCACCCACATACACACATATCTCTGTACTCTCATTCACTTTGTCAATAATAATTTTTGCTTATTATTTCCTGCATTTGATAGGATAAGTTAGGGAGACTTAGCTGAAATGTCTTCCAGAAATTCAGGATGTGTCTTTGTGCTGATGGCATTTTTTCTCACTTATAAAGATTTGTCATCTAGTCTAGGTTGTCATATCTAAACATGTAGATGGGCTGGGGATTTAGCTCAGCGGCAAAAGCGCCTGCCTGGCAAGCACAACGTCGTGAGTTCGGTTCCCGGTACCGGAGAAAAACCAAAAAAAAAAATAAATAAACATGTAGAAATCAAAGATGTTATAGAAATCCACATAATCTACCCCCTATAATACTGCCAGAAAGATTATAGAATTACTTCAGCATAGAGAAGGAAGAGGAAAGGACAAAACAGGCTAAGTTTAAAATACTGAGGACAGCATCTGGGTACTGTTTTATCTTTGCATTACTGATTTGAAGGAGGAAGGCTGAAGTGCAGAAGTCTCTGAGTATGCATTAGCAAGACCTTGCTCTTGGTCCCTTTTTGATTCCCATCCTTGGTTGTCCTGACCTTACCAAGCTGCACCAAGCCCCTAATTTGTCTGTACAGCGAGCACTCTCCATCCATCTGCCCAGGAACATAGACATAATGGACCCTGGAAATCTAGCCTTACTCTTGATGCTTTCTGCAGAAAACTTCTGGATGGATGGGAGGATGGATGGATGGATGGATGGATAGATGGACAGGCAGATGGATATAGCTTATAAGACCTAATACATAGGTTATTTATGTACGGTCCCTATTTGTTAAAAAAAAAAAAAAAGAAAAGAAAACTTACTTCTACTGACATTAAATCTTTTGACATATAAGATGCTTAATTTGGGGCAATAATTTTTCTGATTGCATTTTAGTCATTATTCATAAGGGTCATATACACTAATTATGAGAAAATAAAGAAGCCACATTGTTATATAATTAGTTTTTTGTTTGGTCATCACCTGTAATATTAGATAAACATTATTTTGGTTAAATATTTGTATCTTTCTTGCTTTATTTTCTTGGGCTAAAGTGTTTGAAGTAGAATGGCCAACATAAACTTGGAATTTTGATATAAGTATTTAAAAACATATTCTTCAAGGCCTTTATCTTGAGCCATCTAGTGGAAAACATAATCAAAATATAGAGGACCACCTGAGTTAAATTCCATCTCTACAGTTTACTTTTGCATATCCTTGGCAGGTTACTTCTTATAGATGTCAGTTTCTTCATCTATGTAAAAAGGGAATAATAATCATTAGGTCACTTAAGGATTAAATATGATTAGATATACAAGTACTTAACAAAATGCATCAATGAATATTCATTATTATTTTAAATGACCAAAAAACTGGAGAAATGCTACTTGGCAAGGGTTTATACCCCTGTAGAGCTGGAACTCAGGCTTGGTATTTGATTCTAAAAAGAGGTCAAATGAATTAGGTGATTAGTCCTTAATTATGCACGAAGAGAAAACCAGAATTTGATTAAACTGTGATTGTGAATCACGGGAGGTTGTTGAGGAACACTGTGTGACTGCTCTTTCGTGTGGAGCCACCTCGGACTCACGTGCTGCCCTTTTAGATGTCATGCCACACCAGTGTCACGGTTATGACCGTCAAACTTTTTTACTTTATTGAAACCCATGCACCTCTTTTTTCTTATTTCAGGTTAACTACTGCAATGTGCAATGAAGTGGCCTCTTTATCAAAGAAGTTTACAAATTCTTTAACCACTGTTGGGGTAAGGTTACAATCTGGATCATGTTTTTATCTGTGTAAAGGAAGCAGGGCCTTGAGGGGCCGTGAGAACAGTGGGGATTCTGGATAGCTTCATAACCAGCAGCTGTGCCACAGTGGCTGCTCAAACCGGGCCATGAGCACCTGCTCTCACGACAGGTCGTGCAGGGCTGTGCTCAACGCTGCTGTCCCAGACACCTCAGATGTTAGGTGAGATAAGTTTTCAGACTGTTACAAGCATTTTTTTTTTTTGTAGTGATACGGGCGATTCAGCTGGGGCTTTTGCATTGAGGTACACTCCAAGCCTTTTTTGAGACAGGGTCTCACTAAGTCACTAAATTACCCAGGCTGAGTTCAAACTTGCAATCCTGGCTCAGCCTCCCAGAATACAGGAATTAGAGGTGTGCACCACCCTGCCAGGCCCTCATTTTTGTATTTGTTTAAAAAAATGTGTCAAAATGAAGGTTCTGTACATTAACTTAATATGAATATATATTACATATATATATATACATATCTTAATTACTGTTCTCATTGCTAAGACAAAATATGCAACACCCAAAGTTAAAGGAGGAAAGGTTTATTTTAGCTCATAGTGTATAGAGGTTCAGTCTGTAGTCGGCTGGCTCCAAGGCAGGGCGGCATGGCAGAGAAGAAACAGTCAGTGTCAGGGAAGGCAGAAAGCAGCAAGCAGTGAGCTTCGCTTCTTTTCCTCTTTGTCACGGCTGGGGGCCTGAAGAGGTACTTTGGCAGTGAGATCCCCAGGGAAAAGAATGCATGCAGGGCAGAACAAAATGCATTTGTTCAAAAGGCAGGCAGCAGCAAGAGCTCAAACTGTGTCTTTATGTTTAACTCTTATACAGGTGGTTGCAACATATTTACATTCTTGTATGTAGACTGAACTAGTGCATGTGTGGTTGCCTACTTGCTTGTTCAGTCATCCTTGTATAACCGTTCCCCAGACAGCAAGGTTGTGTCCTCAAAGCTGGCCAAAGGGGTTCTTATATCTCCTCTGAGCTTTGCAGCCTAAAGCAGTCTGTCTGGAGCGGTGCCTCATACCCTTATATTCCACTCAGTCTACTGAATGGAAGCCTGTTGTTTGGTGCCACCCATACCCAGGTGGAGCTTCCTGTTACTACCCCCCAGAACTGTGCTAACTAAACCAATCAGTGGACTAATTTAGTGATCACACATCTTTAATCCATATTCACATACCCATGATCCAGCCACCTCCAAAAAGCCCTACCTACAAGCATATGAGGCTTTGAGGGGACATCTAGATACAAGCCATAACGATATATATTTCAAGCATCTCTATTAAAGTAATTAACTTTGAGTATTCTCATTTATTCTTGAACTTAGTCTATTTTATAAGCCACACACATTTCTTTGCTCTATTATTGCAGTTCAACTGAAACCAAAAGAAAAAAATGTCACCAGTTGGCATAACAGCAGGGTTTATTTCCAGCTTTAGCTACATGTTTTTTTGGTTGCAAGCTTATAATTTTCTAGGACTACTGTAAAACAACACATGAAGTGGCATTAACGGCCTGAAATCTCTCTCAAAGCTGTGGAGTCTGAAATCAAGGTGCAGGCAGGGCAATTCTCCTTCTGAAACTTCCAAGGATGGTTCTTTCTTGGCTTCCTCTGGCTTTAGTGGCCCGTGGTGTTCTTGGCTTGTGGCCACAATGCAGCAATTTCTTCCCATCCTCACCTGGTGGTTTCTCTCACTGTCTTTACATCATCTTCCCTCTGTGCATATCTGTATCCAGATTTTCCTCTTAGAAGGACACAGCCATACTGGATCAGCTCATCGCTATGACTGCACCTTAACTAATTACACCTACAACAGCCCTCGCACTAGGAGGTAGTAGCGGGTTAGGACTTCAGTGCATTCTTTTTGGGAGCACAATTCAACCCATAACAGGAAGCAAGAGAAGCAACTTATAAATGGTTTAGACAGAAAAGGGGGTTTTGAGAAACAGTGGTGAGAGCATGAGCAGCTATGGGACTCAGCACCAGAGCTCTTACACACTGTCTCTAAAGTGTTGCTATTAATGTGACCCAATGATAGCAATTCCCAGGTTCTGGATCTGGGAATCCCAGATTTCTGTGTCCTAAGTGAGACAGTTGACACGGTTCATGATACTGGGTCAGAGATCCACCTTGCAGTCACTCAAGAATAACAAGGCTGGGCTGGTATCATGCAGACCTACCTGGCTGCTGGAGTGTACCGGCAAGCCCTCCTCAGGCCAAGAGCAGTTCTCAGAAGGGGAAGGAAATAATTGTGGACCTGGTCACCCCAAGACATGTCTGTCCACCACATTTCTGTAAATGACTTGGTTAATAAGAAATGAACCTTTCACAATAGCATCCCCCCAAAATTAAATACTTAGGAATTAATCTAATGAAGGATGATAAAGACCTCTACACTGAAAACTACAGTACTCTGAAAAAGGAGATTGAAGAGGATATCAGAAAATGGGAAGATATCCCTTGCTCTTGGGTAGGAAGAACCAATATAGTGAATGTGGCCATACTTCCAAAACTGTTATATAGATTTAATGCAGTTCCAATCAAAATTAATGCAATTGCAATAACATATCTCACAGAATTAGAGAAAATCCTAAAATTCATTTGGAACCAGAGGAGACCTAGAAATGCAAAGCCAATTCTGGGCAATAAAGGCAAGGCTGGGGGCATCATAATCCCTGACTTGAAATTATACTGTAAAGTTACTGTGATAAAAACAGCATGGTACTGGCAAAAACAGACCTGAAGATCAGTGGAACAGATTAGAAGATGCAGAAACAACTCCAGACATACTCAGCCACCTGATCTTTGACAGAAATGCCAAACACACTGACTGGAAGAAAGATAGCCTCTTTAATAAATGATGCAGAAAAACTGGCTCTGCACATGCCAAAGATTAAAATTGGACCCATATCTTTCACCATGCACTAAACTAAATTCAAAATGAATCAAAGATCTAAATATTAAAACAGAAACATTAAATCCACTGGAAGATAGAATAGGTAAAACTCCTGAGCTACAATAGTAGCTCCTTGGCTACTCCTGTAGCCAAGACTTTATGAATAAAACCCCGATCAGTCACACAGGAACCATCACAAAGAATCAGCAACTTGGATCTCATCTTATTAAAAAGCTTTTGCACTGCAAGAGGAACCCCCAACAGAGTGAAGAGGCAGCCCACAATGTAGTAAAAAATGTTTGCCAGGTCTTCCTCAGACAAAGGATTACTGTGGAGAACATAGAAGTAAAAAAAACTCAGACCTCCCAAATTTAAAGACCCAAAAATGGGCATCTGAGATGAATACACACTTCTCAGAGTAAGAAATACAAACAGCAAGTAAATATATGCAAAATATATTCAGTATCACTGGTCATTTGAGGGATGCAACACTGAGATTCCGTCGCACTCCAGAAAAAAATGGCTGTTATCAAGAAATCAACCAATAACAAGTGCTGGAGGGGCTGTGGGGAAGAAAGGAATCCTCCACTGTTGGTGGGAATGTAGACTGGTGCAGTCACTGTGGAAAGTAGTGTGGAGATTCCTCAAAAAACTAGGATTGGAGGTCCCATTTGACCCAGCTATTTCCTTGCTGTGGGTATCATCCCAGAACAATTAAAAACATCATACCACAGCAATATATGTGCACCTGTGTTTATGACAGCACAATTTATAATAGCCAGATCTTGGAAACAACCCAAATA